ATGGCCAGAAAGGCGCAACCGGAATAGCACCGTTTCGGAAATGAGGTAACTGGGAATTCAAAATTTGAAAAATCGAATTTAAATTTTGGCACAGAATTTGAATTATTTCCATAAGGAAACAAAATTTCCTGCAAGAATTTTTGAAAAAATTCGAACGAATTTTATCCAAAAAATTAAAGTTAGGACCCAACCCACAATCTACACCCGCACTCGGCCGGACGATGGCTTGCGTGTGGTGGTTTTTGGGCCAAGCCTACTTTGTCCATAACTCCTCTCTTTACAAAACTTGGGGTGCCCCTTGAGGCCCATCCCAAATATAGCAAGTTAGAGTATATATACTCATATAAATCCTTAAGTCTTTCTTATGTGGGACAAACGCATTTCACAAATGTATAGAAAACCCACTTAAAGCCATTTCCATCAACCCGAAAATGCATGTTGAATTCTCATTCATACGAAAATAGTTTTGAGCAACCAAATATACGATGTTATTCACTACGCAACATTAAACATGAACTCAATTAGAAACGTTAAAAATAACGTTTGGGTTCCACCTTAATTAGTGTTCAAAATTAGTAAAAAATAAGATATTACAAAGTCATTTTCCAACAATTTCATGACATTTGTACAAAAATAAGAGAGAAAGGGTAAATTGGACTTGTTTGTGATATCGAGTTGATAGAATAACACAATGGACAAGGAGCACTTACATAGAAGACGACTATGGGATTTTTTATGGATTCAAATTTTGATGAATATGGGATTTTTGTATATATTCATAGGGACTTTGCAAGTGCCATTTTATGTTTTAAAGATTTGATGCATTGCATATATTTGTATAGAAAATTGTATTTATAGAGATAGAAGACAATTCTTCACACCTTTTTAAAAAAAAATGTTGTTAAATTTTTTTATCTCCTTATTTTGCCAATATAATCAAACTTTACTTAAATTTTCTTGGTAATTTCTATGAAGTAGGTTGATGAATCAAACGATTATAGAGATCAACAAAGATGTCTCATACATTTAGAGTTTATATGGGCACTGACGGAGTTGGAAATTCAAAAAGTAAGGGGTACACATGAATCAAAATATTAAATTTTATTTTTCCTATAACAAGTAGTAATGGGATATTATTAAACTTATGCACTTTTTATTTATTTTTTGTCAATTGATAAGATATAATATTATAATTATCATGAGACTTACATCAATATGACGTGATTCATCAATCCATAATCAATAATTAAATTCTATTAACCCAACATTAGGGACAAACAAACAACTAATAAGTTCAACTCTATGAACTCAACTAATAAAAAAGAATAGCCAACTCAACAAATTTTATAATGAAAAATAAATCAACAATTGATTCAACTCTTACTTTGACTTGTTAGTTAAAAGTGTACAAAAATGAGGAAGAGAATATAATAAAACATTTTTAAAATTTTAAAAATATAAAAAAATTTACATAATTTAAAGAGAGATATTATTATAAAAAAATTTACATGATTTAAAGAGGGATATTATTATAATTTTATTAGAGATAAATAATATATAATTTTTATGTATAGAGATAATTGTCTAGTTATCAAAACTTTAAGGGCATGTGCCACTGGCCCTTCGTTGTCTCCACCACTAAAGATGAGATACGAACAGGTGGTAAAGAACGAACAAATGATGAGAGAGAGAGAGAGAGAGAGAGAGAATATGAGAGAAAAATGACAAGAGACATGAGCTTAAGCGCATGAAAGGCAAAATTATCTATACTATATATTAAGTAAAAAGAAATTTTTAATTCTAAGTCTTGGAGAAATTCCAATTTTTTAATTTAAATTTTTTGATTTTTTTATTTAAAAAAAAAAATTTTAGCATTTATTAACTTCTCTCAATTTCCAAGTCTTACCTTCATAATAACACTTTAATACATTAAGAACAAACATAATTTTTTTTTTTGAAATCCCACACATGTAAATTCCTTGAAAAGTCTCAACATATATGATTATTATCTTTCATAATAACATTTTAATGTATTAAAAACAAGCATAAAAAAAATTCTTGAAAAGTCCAACATATATGATTATTATCAAAATATTAAACTTTAATATAATATAATAAAAAAATGACATTTAATTCCTTGAAAAATCTAACACATATGATTATTATCAAAATATTAAACTTTAATATAATATAAAAAATGAAAAAAAGAAGGCATTTAAAAAAAATATTTAAAAATCACAATTCACATATATAGATAATTATAAATACAATCCGTGCATAGCACGGGTGATATGCTAGTAAGAAAGAAAATAAAAGGATCAAAATGATGGATTATGAGGATAAAAAAAAACGGTGGTGCTATATATATTAATTAGTGTATTAATTAATATATCAACGTTAGTTATGATATTATTATTAATCCCATTTATTAATCATATTACAAATATTAAAAACTTCTTAAATTATGTCAAATTATTAATTGGTACACTAATTAGCGCACTAATTAATGCATATAGCATTATTCTAAAAAAAAGAGAAATGTTATGAATCTCAAATATTTTACCAAACCTCACTCACCTAAATCCACATGTGTATAAGTCTCACACTTATATAAAAGATTTAATAAAATATTTGATAAAATATTTGAGGTCCATAACATAATTCTAAAAAAATGTCAAATGAGACGAGTCTGCATGTATCAATAAAAAGAGTTGTATTAACGCTTTTTCGTAATTAAAATCTAAAACGTGTATCTTTAAAGACGTAATAAGTACCTAGGGTCCCGATTGTTTGGAAAGTTAAAGGGGAGATTGGGATGGGTAGTGAGGTGAGACCTATTAATATTGTGTTTGTTTTGAGAGATGGGAAGGGGATTGATAGTGAGTTTCGAATTGGGATGGGCCTCCCTAAGGGAATTCGGATGAGCCTCTAGGACTTGGTATTAGAAAAATAATCCGACGGACTAGAATTTTTTTTTTTTTATTTAATTTTTTTACATATCGGGCATTTTTTTTTGAACATTAATATTTAATTTTTTGTATTTTTGGTTAAGTAAAAATCATTATTTTATTTGTTTAATTTTTTTTTTGAAAATTTTTTATTTTATTTTTATTTTTTAAAATTTTTTTACATGTTGGGTATTTTTTTAAAAAACATTAATGTCTAAAGTTTTTGTATTTTTTTATTTGTTTTATTGTTTTATATTTATTTTATATAAAAATAATGTAACAATTCTTATACTAACAACTATCATCAAAACAAATATAATTTTACTTAATCTCATCACTATCAATCTCTTCACTATTAATCTCCTCACATCAATCCTCTCTATTTTACCTCTGAAAACAAATGAACCCAGAATTATCTATTTTGGGGAGGGTAAAGGATAGGGATAGTGACCGACATTGGCTATAGTGGAAGATAGATGGTCGGTGGTGGAGGTAAGGGAGGAGGAAGAGGCTTGCGAAGAGAAAGGGAAAGCGAGATAGGGAGGGGTAAAAATGAAAAAAAAAAAATTATAAATTCCTATATTGCAATTAATTCTACAGTTTCTATTGTTATAGTAATTAAAAAATATCCATTATTATTATTATTATGGAAAAAAAAACACTAGGTTTGATCTCGGTAATAAAATTAACCCTGAGATTTTAATTTTATTGATTCAAATCATAATTTTTTGATTTGTTTTCAATCTAAATAGTTTGTCTATTTTCGTTAAGTAAAATAATCTGAAAAAGTATTTTAGTCGTTAACTAAAAATGTTATTTTAGCCTTTTTTATGTACAATTGAATTTAATAGCTAAAATATAAATTTTCATTTAATTTTACTTAACAAAAATAGACAAAGAATTTAAATTGAAAACAAACTAAAAGATTATGATTTAAGTTGACAAAATTAAAAATATTACCCAAAAAAAAATCCTAAGATTTTAATTTTGCCAATTTAAATTTTAATATTTTTGATTTATTTTCAATCTAAATCATTTGGTTATTTTTGTAAACTAAAATTGACAAAAAATAATATTTAGTCATTAAACGTAATGTAAAAATATACAAAATATCTAAATTACCCATTTTCATTGAGTTTAATAATTAAAATATATATTTTTTCATTAATTTTATTTAATAAAAATAGACAAATGATTCAGATTGAAAATAAATTAAAAATTAAAATTTTAAATTGATAAAATTAAAAATTTAGAATTAATCAATCATTTATATATATATATATATATTAGTTTTTATTCATATTTGTTTTGTTAACATGCTTCTCCCGATATTTGGTATAGCTATCCATTAATTACAAATCTGATGGTTTTTTTGGCTGTAATTTTTCATTACTCCTTATTTTATTTTTCATTATCCTAAGATATTAGTTTATTTAAAAAAATTAATGACTAAAATAATATGATTTTTTTTATTTTTCTCTTCTTTTAATTTTATAAAAAAAAATTATAATTATGACAATTAATATTTTTTTTAAAAGGTCAAAGGGTAATTTTAAAAAGTTAGTAATTTTAAAATGTAATAATTATACTATAAAAAAATTGAATTCTCATTTGGGAATTATTCAAAATAATAAAAAAAAAATTACGTACAAGTCTTAATAAGTAAACTTATTGTCTAATAAATCTTGTGAGAATTAATAGTATTTTTTATTAAATACTATTAAAAAAAAATTACTAATTATTAATTTTAAAATATAGTTTAAAATTTTTGTCACAAAAAATGATACTAATGATATGTTTTAGCAACAATTTAAAAAAATTATCACAAAAAAGTTATTAAGTTTCAACTTTCAATAATAGTTTAAAAATTTATTACAAAAATATTGCCAATTATAAATTTTAGTGATAATTAATAAAAATTATGACAAAAAAATTATTAATTATTAATGATATATATATATAAATTATTTTTGTTAATTATTAAGATTTATTTTCAATAGTATTTCATTAAAAAAAAAAAATTTACTAAAATGAGCGAACAAGTACTACAAACAAAAAGAGGAATAAAAGCAAGAGAGAAGAGTTTTGGTGATTTGATGATGGCGGAGAAACCAGTGAAGCCATTGCCAAAATGTCGTTGTTAAGCTCTCAATTAACTACCCTCTCCACCAGACTCTCCTCCTCCTCCTCTCTCAGATCTCACTTCACTTATTCAACAACTACTACTCTTCTCTCAAACCCTCTCACTCTCAGATTCCGCCGCCGCAGCTTCTCGCTTCGCCGCCGGTATTCCTCCTCTGCCGCCACCACCACCATGGGTGTCGCTGCCACCGATGCAAGCATGGACGCTGTCCAGAGGCGTCTCATGTTTGAAGACGAGTAAGTAACTTCTCTCCGCTCATAGATAAGCGTGATTTGCGAGTGTTGTTTTTCCGATGTGCTTTTGTTCTTTCTATTGTTTGCCTGCTGAGAAAATTCAAGAAACGAAACACAATTCCAATTTCTTAAATTTTTAGTATGGTTTTTTTTTGGTAACGATAAAAGATACTTGTGTCCGTCACGTTTCCTCCTCACCGTCCAAATTTACCACTTTTAGGCCTTGTTTGGATTAGTTATCTAGTGAGATTGCCATTTATTATGTATTCATGTTGTGTTTTTTTCCTTTCATAATTGAAATTGTGATCCTGGCCCCTCTCAATGTTAAAAATTGGTCAATTTGGTCAGATATGTCTTCGGTAGTGTAATCTGGTTAATAAAATTTTTGCAGTCAGACAAGGGATTGTGAATCTATGGACTAACTATCCCAATCCAATGCTATAATCCTACTAATCAACCATCGCCTCAGGGTCATCTGTTTGATTAGTAGAATTAATAGTGAGAGGATTAACAATCATGAGATTAGTGTGAGGTTGGTTATTTGGATTAGTGAGATATATAATTTCCTCTTGTCCGCGTTTGTTTTGTAGTATATATGAAATATATAATCTCAATTTTTGTGTTAATTAGTTGTATGAATTAAAAAATTTGCCAATTTTGTTGGATAGAATGATTGTTGAAATCTAATCCGAATAATTAAATTTACAACTAAACAATGGAATGTGAGTACCATGAATTAATAATCCCAATTCTATACTATAATCCTTCCAATCAAGCATGTCCATAGAGACAGATTTTTCTCAGCTGTTGGATTGTTGCGGTTATAATTGGTTGAAGAAGAATAACAAGTATGTATATTCTTGCAATTGATTTATATAGAACAATGGTTAAAAAGTGATTTAATTCCTTTACAAGATTGCTAAATTCAGAGTCTCACATGGGTGGGTTCACATTGTGAGAGTCAGATGGGTCCTGCATGTGAATCAAATGTGAATTTGCTTAACATGTTGATTGCTCTAAAAACAAGAGTTTTAAGAAAGAAAGAAGGAAAGAAAAAAAACATTAATTACAAATCTGATGGCCTGAGTTTGTAAGGTCTTCTTTAACAATGAGTTAGTAAACATGGTTTTGGTTTCCTCAAGATGAAAATGGTAAATATTTTGGAGGCGTCTCCCTTTCTTGTGTTTCACCTTCCTCAAACGGAAAGTTAAAATGGTAGTGATTCTACTTCAACTATGATGTGAATTCAAAATAGGAAACTTAACTTTTTTGACTATTAAGGCCTCGTTTGGCAAGTGGTGATTTTAGCTAGAAAGTCAATAAGTCACTAAAAAAATTAAAAAGTGAACAACCTATACCAAAAAGTCAAAGATTCTCTTTTCTCTCTACTTTTTTTGCATATCTTTTTGTAAAAAACCAAAAAAGTCATTCCAAATATACTAATTTTTTATACATCATATTTTAGTCAAAAAGTTACTAAAAAAGCATGTTCCCAAACGAGGCCTAAGATTATTATAGACTTAACTTTTTTGACTATTAAGATTATTCTAGACATAATAAAACTCATATATATGCAATGACTTATTTAATGACTTGACCCAAAATAAAGTCATGGGCGACCCTTATAGCTCGTGTTCAAGAAATTATGAAATTACTAAAACACCATTAACTACTAAAAACACTATCATGGACATTTCTTTTTGGATAAAAAAGGCTTGTTCACGATGGGACTCTTAGACTTTGTTTTGGGCTTCCAAAGCCTATCATACTTGATTAGCCATCAAATAAATGTTATTATGAAATCATGGTATTTGCAATTAGTATTGAATATAAAAATTAGAGTACATAGAATCTTTTTATTTTTAATATTATGTGTATAATCTATGATTGTGTCAATGACCGATTTAATATTGTTTCATTATTTATATCATTTTCTAAATTATATTATGAATCTATTATATATGTATTGCCTCTGCCTCATTTATGGGTAAGCCAAATAATTTTTTTCATTCTTTTTGGTATTAGAGTTAGGTTAAGTACCTAGTAATTTTGCTTCACCGGCGGGCGGCAGCCTTGCCTTGGCTGCCCGCTGGACCTCAACTCATTCCACTGCCATATTTTTTTGCAGTATTACTTCGTAGTGATCTTTTTCTCTATCTACTAGTTTATTCCTATCCCAAATATCTCTCTCATATTTTTTTTTACTTGCAATTCATTTTTTTGTATATTTCTGTTCCACTTTGTTTTTTCCTCTCTTTTAACCTCAAATAGGTTTATATCTTTAAACTTATTTGAGTTTGAGGGGGGTATTGTACCTATATCATGGTGAGCATGGTGATATACCATGTGAACCACCTAAGCCGCCTCTTCTGGCGCACAACCCAAGTCGCCCCCATGGCGCACCACCTAAGCTGTCCTTTCTGCCGCACAACTAAAGCCGCCTCTTCTAGCGCACCACCAAAGCCGCCCCCTGGTTCACTTTCTAATAAGCCGCTCTTTGGCGCACTCAGTCATCTGTTGCCATCATCATTCAGCACCACGTCATAAGTTATGTATGTGTCACGCTTGCTGGTTCAACATCCAGTTCTCTACATCAGTCTGGCATGACCCCTTTAAACTGTCCCCAACATTGATTCCGGTTAGTTCAACAGTCCAGCAAGACGCCGTAAATTGTTCTAACATTGATTTCGATTAGTTCCTACAATAGTCCAGCATGACCTTAAACTGTCCCGACATTAGTTCCTACTAGTTTCTACAACGATTCGGCATGACCATAAACTATCTCCCTGCATTAGCTCCGGCCTCTGATGCTGACCAGGGTCTTTTTGGTTGTTTCTTGGCCATAGATGCTTCGGCAGCTCTTCTAGGGCAGTTCAGTCCCTGTTTTTTTTCCTTTTCTAGGGTGTGCTAATGTATTAAGCAATTTTTTGGTCTTTTTTATTTAGTGATCTATTAGATTTGTTCGGTAACATTTATTTGGACTAGCCGTTGAGTTTTTTTTGACTTCTTCCAATTATCCATTAGCAAATTTCGATTGTTGAATATCTTCACATCAGCTTGAGGGGGCGTGTTAAATATAGAAATAGAGTACATAGAATCTTTTTATTTTTTCATATTATGTATATAATTTGTGATTGTGTCAATCACTGATTTAGTATTGTTTCCTTATTTATATCGTTTCTTAAATTGTATCATGAATCTATTATATATACATGGCCTCTATCTCATTCATGGGTAAGCCAAATAATTTTTTTCATTCTTTTATTAGTAGGTTCTTACTAGAATTGATAACCTTTTCAACAGGAATGATGGAAATTAGACTATGGTGTATGTTTGTGGGAATTTCGTTGTCATGATTCAGTTTCAGTTTCAGTTTCAGTTTCAGTTTCAGTTTCATGCTTGTCTTTTTATTTATTTTATTTATTTTATTTTATTTTATTTTTTTTAGGCTAGAAAATAAGATATAAATTGATGCTTTGTGTCTGTTTATTATTTAGTCGTGAAAGTATCACATATTGAATTTAGTTTTTTTTTTTAGACATTATCCATGAAAATACTTACGATGCACTGAAAATGTTTTTAAATTTGTTTCTTCTATGCATTATTAAAAATAAGTGATTAGTCTGGATACAACTTTTTTTTTCTCAAATGACATTATTTGCTTCTCTACTTAATTTGACTAATGAAATGGCCTTTGATAGGGCCGCGTGGAGAAGAAGGATTCATGTAGCCGACCCCATTTGATGGGACTTAAGGCTTGGTTTGGTTTGGTTTGGTTTGGCGGGCGACAGCCTTGCCTTGGCTGCCCGTTGGACCTCAACTCATTCCACTGTCATATTTTCTTGCAGTATCACTTCGTGGTGATCTTTTCCTCTATCTACTAGTTTATTCCTATCCCAAATATCTCTATCATATTTTTTTTTTTACTTACAATTCATTTTTTTGTATGTTTCTGTTCTACTTTGTTTTTCCCTCTCTTTTAACCTCAAATAGGTTTATATCTTCAAACTTATTTGAGTTTGAGGGGGGTATTGTACCTATATCATGGTGAGCATGGTGATATACCATGTGAACCACCTAAGCCGCCTCCTCTGGCGCACAACCCAAGTCGCCCCCTTGGCGCACAACTAAAGCTGCCCCTTCTAGCGCACCACCAAAGCTGCCCCCTGGTTCACTTTCTAATAAGTCGCTCTTTGGCGCACTCAGTCATCTGTTGCTATCATCATTCAGCACCACGTCATAAGTTATGTATGTGTCACGCTTGTTGGTTCAACATCCAGTTCTCTACATCAGTCTGGCATGACCCCTTTAAACTGTCCCAACATTGATTCCGGTTAGTTCAACAGTCCAACAAGACCCCGTAAATTGTTCTAACATTGATTTCGATTAGTTCCTACAATAGTCCAGCATGACCTTAAACTGTCCCGACATTAGTTCCTACTAGTTTCTACAACGATTCGGCATGACCATAAACTATCTCCCGGCATTAGCTCCGGCCTCTGATACTGACTAGGGTCTTTTTGGTTGTTTCTTGGCCATAGATTCTTCGGCAGCTCTTCTAGGGCAGTTCAGTCCCTGTTTTTTTTCCTTTTCTAGGGTGTGCTAATGTATTAAGCACTTTTTTGGTCTTTTTTATTTAGTGATCTATTAGATTTGTTCGGTAGCATTTATTTGGACTAGCCGTTGAGTTTTTTCTGACTTCTTCCAATTATCCATTAGCAAATTGCGATTGTTGAATATCTTCACATCAACTTGAGGGGGCGTGTTAAATATAGAAATAGAGTACATAGAATCTTTTTATTTTTTTCATATTATGTATATAATTTGTGATTGTGTCAATCATTGATTTAGTATTGTTTCCTTATTTATATCGTTTCCTAAATTGTATCATGAATCTATTATATATACATGGCCTCTACCTCATTCATGGGTAAGCCAAATAATTCTTTTCATTCTTTTATTATATATACTAGAATTGATAACCTTTTCAACAGGAATGATGGAAATTAGACTACGGTGTATGTTTGTGGGAATTTCGTTGTCATGATTTTGTTTCAGTTTCAGTTTCAGTTTCAGTTTCAGTTTCATGCTTGTCTTTTTATTTTTATTTTTATTTTTATTTTTCAGGCTAGAAAATAAGATATAAATTGATGCTTTGTGTCTGTTTATTATTTAGTCGTGAAAGTATCACATATTGAATTTAGTTTTTTTTTTTTAGACATTATCCATGAAAATACTTACGATGCACTGAAAAGGTTTTTAAATTTGTTTCTTCTATGCATTATTAAAAATAAGTGATTAGTCTGGATACAACTTTTTTTTTCTCAAATGACATTATTTGCTTCCTTGGTTTTGATAAAAGATCATCCACCCCAACTTTTGTAGATGTATTTTGGTGGATGAGAATGATCGTGTTGTTGGTCATGACACCAAATACAACTGTAAGTATATTTCCTTTCGGTATCTTACTTGGGAGAATATTTTGTACTTTGTAGTGTTTTGTAAGATACATATTCGCTTTTACACTGTGATTTTTTATTATGTTGTCATCTCATACTGCAATACAACTTACTATTTTATCTCTCTCGAAGAACATCATGTTTAGGTTTTGTTTGGGAAGTGGTTTTTTGGATAATATACAAGGTAAAAAAAAACAGAAGTGTTTGAGAATGGCTTTTTGGATTTTTACGGAAAAATGTGCAAAAAAATAGAGAGAATGGGAAGGCATTTTTGTCTTTTTTTGGCTAAAAACCTTACTTCCTAAACGCACCCGTATTGGATAATGGTGTCTCATTTGTTATTTGACATGTTACGTTTATTCAAGAAGGTGCTGTCATTAAATATTCTCCTCATGGTAATTCAAGAAGGTGCTTATAACTTTGAGCTTAACAATTGTAATAGGAAAGAAATTATTAATTCCTTTTGGCACTCTTTAAATTTTATCTGTCTTACTAGAAGCAGAGGAAGAGAGGGGAAAGAGTTTGTAATCTTAGAGCTAGGTGCTATTTTTTATCAGCATGGAATCACTAAATTTTTATGTATGTAGATTACAGTAGCATGATTTTTTTATCCTAATTTTCATTGTTGAATTGTTTTATAAAACACAGGCCACTTGATGGAGAAGATTGAATCCGAAAATTTGCTGCATAGAGCATTCAGTGTATTTTTGTTTAACTCAAAATATGAGTTACTTCTTCAGGTACATGTTATTAAGAAAAAAATGACCATTGATGGTATTGCACAGCATATGTGTGATGTTGGAATGTAATTGGCTATATGAGCTTATTTTCATTGCAAGTGATTTGTTTGGATATATTGTGAATTGATTTAGGAGAGGGACAAATTTGATTTTGGAGAGGTTTACATGTAAGACTAAGATGTTATCATTTATGTAGGAGATTTACCCTTCATTAGCAAGCAAGAATTAAAATCAGCAGGCAGTCTACATCTAGCATCCCTGAGTGTGGGAAAATGTGCTAGAGGAGGAGTATCTTCATTAAATAAATATTAGCATGTTGAGCTCCTCTTCTTATCTTGGTAAATAAGTAGTGGGTAGTGGTGTAGAACCAGAAGACAAAGCGGCACAAATATCACTCTAGGGTTTTCTAAAAGTCTCTCAATCAACTATTCATTCATTCAAAAGGTAATCATTTCCGTTGCACAATCTTTATATATATATATATTTATATACATCTAGCATGACTAATAAGGAAATTAAAGAAAAATGAGTAAGAAAGAAATTGGAAACAAATTTTGAAAACTATATCTCCTAGAAATTGTAGGTTTCCAATTGACGCCTCTTGCACTTAAAATAGGTCTTCATTCCTTTCCTTTCTTGATCCTCATCATTTCTCCCCAGCTGAAAATGGTTCTTCTCCAAAGAGTAAAGAGTAAGGTATTGCTCAAAAAATGTGGAGTCAAGATGACTAAACTCATCCATGGTGATCCATGTATCATCAGTGGCTGGGCAATTCTTCCATCGTACAAGATAGCGACAATAACCACCATTGGAAGAACCAACATCTTTAGTGTCAAGGACCTCCTCAATCTGATCAAGATGAAATTGCGAAGGTTGTGGAGGATGAGGTACAGAAACTAGCACTGATAGAGAAGGAAAACATGTAGGCAAACTTGCTAACAAAGTGGCAGGCTCAAAAGTGCCTTGGTAAGGAAACAAATCGTCAATACTAAATCTCCTAAATATTCTAGGTTTCCAATTAACGATTCTTGCGCCTAAAATATGTCTTCGTTCCTTTCCTTACTTGATCTTCATCAGGTAGTTTCTTCTTATTACTGTTTTTATCCAAAAAAAAAAAAGAAGAAAAAAAAAAAGCAGAAAGGTCAGGATAGAAGCAGATGGATAATCATTTAGAAGTTTGCCTACGTAGCTTGCTGAAAACCCAACGAATTCAATTTGATGGAGGAAACGGGCGTATTCTGATCATGGTTAAATCTTGCAAAATCTGTTATCTTTGTTCAGTAACTTTACTAATCCACTTGAGTATGGTATGGGAATTGAGAATTGAATGAGGCTGATTCACATGGCAGATCTTTAGTGCTACCATGAAATAGTTATTCTTTTCCAATTGACCCTTGACTGGGTTACATTCGGCTTGCATGTGGGTAACTTAATCTTTCCATTCTTGCGACAAAATTTTCTTAGCAATGATGAAATCGGCTGTGCGGGGCACTTGTCAGCTCAAAAATATCAAACAGTTATGTCTATGTCATGATCTTGGACCATGGTTAGTGATGTGTAGTTGTTTGTGCTTTTCTCAAGTACCAAGTTGTCTTGATTTATATATTTTTTTTAATCAACTAATTGATATCCTCAGAGCTTCGCTGTGATCTTATGAATAATGTCTGCCATATTATTTAAAGCTCTTGCTAGTGATGATCTTTTTGTGACTCAATTATAAACTACAGATCACAATTGGGGGGGGTAGTCTTACATTTTCTCATGATGAACTAGAATCTTCCTGTCACATTTGGCATTGACCATTATGTAAAACCAACATTTTTAACATTGGTTTTTGCTCCCGCTCTAAAAAAAAAAAAAAACCATTGGTCTTTGCAGTCTCACCAGGTGTATCCCAATGGAAACTTCCGCACTTAAATTTGGTGGTGGACTTTAAGATATTCATAAAGCAGCTAAAAGAAGAAGACAAAATTGAAAAAAAAAAAAAGAAAAAAGAAAAAACTAATATATATATTGTAGAAAATCTGATTTTGGTAAGAGTTTTTGGAATTTGCAACAAAGTAGGTTCAAATCTCAAGCTATGGGGCTTCAAATTAATGCTTAAAAGAAGAGAGAGAATAAGAATAAGGAAATAGATTTGGAATTTTTTTAATCTTCAGTAGCTTTCCCTGAACTATATATTTCCATTTTCAATATATATCATTAGTTTTTCAACTTAATTGGTGTCTAAGTGAGTTACTCGAAGCTTAAACTTGTGTGAGAAAACATTCCTTTAGTGAAAAAGATGCAGTTATGATGGCATGACTTTAATAAATTTGAGAACTAAAAGCCAAACACAATCTTGCTTAAGAAGATGGTGGTTCACCCTTTGGGAACTCATTCTATTTGAGCATTCATGAAAATGAGGCCTGAGACAACTATTCTTATCTTGTCGGTACAGTAAAAATGTGTAGGCATTCAGGAACTGTGGATTGTGGAAAGCCAAAGTTTAGGTCATATGTGTTGAGTAGAGTGTTCCCCCCAACAACAATAATTCCAAGTCATTGGGAACTGTTATCTGTGATATTGCAAATATGATGGATTTGATGTACAAGCATAGAATGGTGATGGTGATGCTTATATTTATGTGATCAGACTGACAATCGCACCAGGAGGGAGTAACAGGAAAAGTTTCTACACTTGGCAAGACTAGTAACTTGCAACATGTTCCTCAGTTAAATGTTTTCAGTATTATCTCTATTATACCTCTACTTGGGTCAGATCTATCATCATCAATTTGTTTTTAGATCAATATTAAAGATTTTGCTTTACTGGGGAAAAAAAAAAGGATTGGAGAAAAAATTCAACAATTGCTAACCAATAATCAGGGATGAGATATCCTCTTTCTTCTCCCATACTAGAAGTGCATCTTCTTGATCCCTAGTCTTTGTCTTGAAAATATTTCCTTTCTATTTTAGAGTATGTATTTAAGGTTACGACCTTAACTTTTTGTTTACCTTCTTTGATACTGATTATCTTCTGGACAACCATTATTGAAAGTTTTGTTCGTAGATAGAATTTTGTTATTTTCTTCTTTTTGGTCTTTATTAGTATAATATTTATGTTTTGTAACATCTGTTGTATGAGCAGCAAAGGTCCGCAACAAAGGTAACATTCCCTCTGGTGTGGACAAACACTTGCTGCAGCCATCCACTCTACAGAGAATCCGAGCTTATTGAAGAGAATGCCCTTGGTATACCTCTTTCTATATATATACACATATTGACCAATGGAGGACTGTTTGACTCTCATCCGGCAGGACTCATCAACTTTCATTTTTAACACTTGCTAGGGGTAAGAAATGCTGCACAAAGGAAGCTTTTGGATGAACTGGGTATTCCTGCGGAGGATGTGCCGGTTGATAAGTTCACCCCACTGGGACGCATGCTTTACAAGGCACCATCCGATGGAAAGTGGGGAGAGCATGAACGTAATGACTCTTGCTTTTCATTAATCTGAACCTCAACATGTTTTATCTGCTGCTCAACATAGTTTCAAGTTGCACTAATGTAAAACCAGCAGCAATAGTTTTCCCTACGACTGCAAATGAACCAAGCTGTTCGCGAGCTTAGCTCGGCTTGGCTTGATTTTTAGGCTCATTTAATAAATGTCAACCTTGAGCCCAAATAAGATAAATATTTATTTAAAGCTTGGCTCGTTAATTATTTATTGAAATATTAGGATAAATGTAACTAATAGCCAAAAAAATTCATTAGATAGGATAAATGTAAATATTTATTTAAAGCTTGTTTATATAATGTAAATAATAGCCACCCAAAATATAATGTAAATAATAGCAACACAAAAAAAAAAAAAAAATCATTATCGAGCTTCGAGCCGAGGTCAAGAGCTCGAGCCTTGCAAAGCTCGGTTTTTTGCAGCCCTAGTTTTCCCACTTTTGTCGTAGACTATTTCTTTTTATGGTAGCTCGTAAACATGGCTGCGCAGTTTCTTTTTGGTGTTACATCTGCCATGACTCGATTTCATCATGTAATATATAACATAAGAGAGCTGATCATGAAATTAGGGTTAATTTTCTAATGAAAAATTCTGAACATATATAAAATTCATACAAAAAAACTTGACAAGAATGATGTGGCAATGCCATTATTATAAATAAAACCATCTTCGATGGCATTTTTGTTTCGAAGTGAAAGGTTCACAATGATCTATATCACTATGTATGAATTTTTTGTTTATATAACATTCCTCTTTTCTAATATATTCTTCATACTTTGATGTTGAACCCCCTTTTATGTACTGGCAGTTGACTACCTGCTCTTCATTGTCCGGGACGTTAACGTGCATCCAAACCCCGATGAAGTTGCCGACATCAAATATGTGAATCGGGATCAATTGAAAGAACTGTTGAGAAAAACAGATGCTGGTGAGGAGGGTTTGAAGCTGTCCCCATGGTTCAGGTTAGTTGTCGACAACTTCTTGTTCAAGTGGTGGGACCATGTGGAGAAAGGGACCATCCAGGAAGCCGTTGACATGAAAACAATTCATAAATTGACCTGAAATTGGCCGTCTCGACCTGTCAGTTACAGTTGGACCATGGTACAGTTGCTTCAATCAATAAATTTGCACTGTAGTTCAGGAAAAAGTTGATTTGCATATATGTTTTATCGGTTGCCATTACCAGATTTCTCGTGTTCTCGCCCAAACAAAGTGCCAGTGTTTTTGTCAAATTTTCAGTTTTATTCGTGACTGAGAACTCAATAAAAAACTTTATTATCATATATATATATATATGTGTGTGTGTGGACGATTTTGACCATCAGTCTGGTTTTGTTTTGATTTGGTTTTGGATAAATATATTTTACTGATGCAACAATGATTCATCCCACTAAAAACATCACCACTAATAGCACTAATGCATTAAAAAAATAAAAAAAAATACAACTCCAAGACCAAAACATCATATCATTAATGACGGGACCCACTGCCACCTCATTAGTGGGAGCACTAATTAGTGCTCCCAAGCATTTTTCTTTACTGATGTATCTTGCTATAATAAAAAGTACAGAAAAATCATTTGTAGAAAAACTATGAGAGTAACTAGACTGGTCTCTTTTCTTTTATGCAATCTCTATTTGGAGCTTTTTAACTTCATAATTGAGGTAGTAATGAATATATAATAAGAAAAATAACAATTTAGCATAGAAGGGTAGTAAAAATATTTACAAATAGGTGAAACACACTAAAAATTTGGATTAAAATGGTTTTTCAGCTGTTTAAAAATCTGTCTCATTTCTTAGTAACATGATATTTTGGCCCCGTTTGAGGAGCGAGATTTATAATTAAAAAGTCATTATAAATTGTTATATAACACAATTTATTTTTATAAAAAGTCAAAAAGTTAATTAAAATAATCAATTTTTAAACCAATTTTCTAAATTATATATATATTTGGATTTGTCCAATTTGTCAAACTCAAACTAAGGAATAAAAGGGGTTAAAATAAGACCTTTTATTGGGTGTAATGTATTAGTTTTGACAATTGTAATAGATAAAAAAAAAATGAAGCATATTCAATATGGTGTCTCATAGTGTGTAGTGTATGTTGTGTATAAATAATATTACTTTAATTGATGAAATCCAGAATACAGTAGAAATAGAAATAGTAGAGAAGTGAATTATTAAAAATTATCACCTAAGTTTGCAATTTATGTCTAGCTTTCAGATAAAAAGAAACACAACTTGATGCTAATTTTGTTTCACTTTGTCTCCCATAAAGTAACTTTGACACTTTTAGGACTGGTTTAAAAACTTGGCTATTTTAATTAATATTTTTTTAATAAGTTGGTCTAGATGGTAGTTTGTTCTTGGCCAGAAGTATAATTATTTTTTTAATAAGTTGGTCTAGATGGTAGTTTGTTCTTGGCCAGAAGTATAATTATGTGGTGCTTTTAGACTAATTAATAATTTTTCTTGGAATGATTTTTAATTTTTTTTAGTGAGAAAAAAATAAAATAATTATGATTTAGACGTGACATTATGTCTTATTGACTATTTAAATTTTTTTTTTGTCTTTATTAACTATTTTATCCAAAAACTTGCATGCCAAACACCCTCTTAATTCTGATGAAAAAAAAAACACCCCTTAATATTATATTTTTTGTATTTTAGCTTTTGGGTATTTTTCACCAGAGAATTTGAGGACAATTTCCAATTGGATTTATTATTAAATTTTAGATTTTTCACTAGATTTTGGATTTAGTATTAAATTTTTTTTAGATGGATTTTCATTTATTTTTAATGAACTTTTTTTTTTTTTTCATATTTTGGTCATTTTTTTAATACACAGCTCGTTTGAAAAGTTGACTATTTTAATTATTTTTTTTACTCTTTAATTATTTTAATTTGGTTAAAAAAATTGTGTTTGGAAAGTTGATTGCCTTTTTTTTTGTAATTAATTTGATTGTTGTGAAGAAAAAAAAAATTATGATTTAAATGTAATATTTTATTTTATTAACTATTTTAGAATATATCTTTATTAACTATTTTAACTTCCAATTCTTTTCCCAAACAAAACCACTAAAAAAATAAAATAAATTGACTAAAATATAAGAATTCATTTAAAAAAATAAAAAAGTAAAATAAAATTCACTAAAAAAAAACATCGAAAACCAGTTTTTAAAAAATCAAATCAAACAAAACAAAACCTAAAATTTGACGAATGCGAAAAATGAGCAAAACGTGCAGGGTCTACAGTGTAAATTAACCAATTTTGACGATTATACCACGCTCCATTCTCTCTCTCGCGTCGTTTTAACCGATCTTATAGGAGAAAAAATTGAAGTTGTGAACAGAGTCGAAACGATCTGCTTCAACTACGACCATCGACAATCAGAAACAGTCTCCGGCGGCTCTGCCGCCTTCGCCGCCGTTGCAGTGTAATCGACGCTGGGCCTCAGGTGTCGCATTTTGCCTAATTTTCCATTTGATTTTCCATTTCAAAAGTTTTGAATTCGTAAAAAACAAGATTTCAGCAATGCAATTTTTTTTTTTTTTTTTTCTATCATTGGTTTTTCAAACAGAGAGAAAATTGCGTTTTGAAAGTCGAAGAATATACAGGAGGGGACGAATATTCTCATTTGAACAACCCACAAATCAAATTGCTACAGCAACATAAACAATCTCCACTCTCCTCTCGATATTGCTCGCTCTTGTTTTTGATTATCGTTTATCAGTCTTTGTATGATTGTGGGTCCACATCCCCACCACCCATTTTTTGAATATCGAAGTTTTGTGCTGAGATTTGATTGATGTTCATGCTTGTGAACCCTCAAAATCGAAAATTTTGACTGCCCAGAAAGCAAATTGGGCGGAAAAGAATGGTGTCTTTAATGGGTTCTGTGTTGTTCCCTACTCTGAATACGTGGAATGGTTCTTCTTCTAGCTCCTCCAGATTTTTAGTTTCTGGTAGAAGGGTGTATAGTGATGCTTCTTCTTCTGGGCATAGCATGATTGCTTGTGCTTGTATGGCACCCCCGCGGAACTTGAGGGCAGCCGATGGATTTTCTGCCTCCAAATTCAATGTAAATATTTCATCTTGATTTCTTTCCTGTGATTTCTGCATTCAAATTATTCCATTAATCAATTTTTAGCTGCTTGTTCTTGCTCATTTTTTGTTTGTTTGCTTGTTATTTTCTCTCAATCTGTTTCTATTTATTGTACTGGATTTGCAGGTAATTTACTGAATTAGTACTTGTTGGAGTCATAGTGATGTAAAAATATTGAAAGTTATAATTTTAAATCATTCTTGTAATCAATTTGCTGGAATTATCAATTTAAATCTGTGTTTTATTTTGTTCTCTCTATTCAATGTGTAAAATGCTTGATGAGTGGAGAAAAAGTGTTTTGGTACCTATTTATAACAATAAAATAGATATGCAAAATTACAACAATAATAGAGTTATTAAGTTAATGCGTCATACAATGAAATTGTGGAAGAGAGTGGTTGAGTATCATTTGAAGGTTACAATAATAGTGTTAGAGAGTAAGTTTAGATTTATGCCCGGTAGATCAGCTATGGAGGTGTGATATATTTACTAAGAAGATTAATAGAAGAAAACAAAGAGAAAATGCAGGATCTATATATGGTTTTAATAGATTTAGAAAATTCTTATCATAGAATGTCTAGAGATATAATGTTGGGATTTGGAAAAATAAAATGTATGACCAAAGGTGTATATTGATGCGATAAGAGACGTATAGGATGAAGTTATAACTACAATTAGATCACATGTAAGAAAACTAGTGAATTTACAATTGTTGTAGGGCTGCATTGCATTGAGGGTCAACTTTGAGTCCTTATCTATTTGCTTTAGTATAAGAAGTACTTACATTTCTAAGAAGGTAATGTGTCATGTCCAACACCAACACGACACGACACTCATTAGACATTTCCCAACATTTAGACACGCGTTAAAAGTTTGAATAAAATAGCTTGGAATCTAATGATAAAACAAAAAACAATGTAAATTTCCATCTATTCTCTTTCGTAAGACTTTAAAAATTATTATTTTGACTTAAATATTTATATATGTAACATGTAATAATTATTTATCCTTATATATGACATATAATAAATTAATAAATTTATAAAATTATATATTTTTCATATGTTCCGCATGTGTCATGTCCTACATATTTTGAAAAATTGTGTGTCGGCTTGTTCGTATCGTGTCACGTGTCTGTGCTTCTTAGTCCTTAGTCATGGATATTATTCTAATGGATGAAGCTAAGGAAGGAATTAACACTCAACTAGAAATCTGGAGAAAAGTACTGGAGTCAAAAGGGTTTAAATTAATAGAAATAAAACTGAATATATAGAATGCAATTTTAGTGATAGTAGAAGTAGAAATAACGAAGAAGTGAAAATTGAAAATCAAGAGATAACAAGTATGCAACATTTTCATTACCTAAGTTAATTATTAATAAAGACATGTGATCTATGGGATAAATGTAGGTTGGCTAAGTGTCTCTGACATATAATGTAATTGATAATATTAACAAAATTGAAAAGGAAAATCTTATGCTAAGAAGCATGGACACAGACACACCGATTCGGCAATTTTTAAATAAATGCAGTACACGACATGTGGGGGACATGCACAAAATATATTGTTTTATATATTTATTATGTTATATTACATATATGAATATGTCATTTAAAAATAATAATAAAAAAACATAGTGCTAATTTTTGTAAATTGACATTAATTTTCTTTTATCTTTGTACCTTAGGTAATTTTGTTCAAATCTATAATTAGTTTCATGTGTGTCCAAATGATGGACATGTGTGTCCCAAATGTTTGAAGAGTGTTTGAATCTAGTTATTTCTTTTTTTACATAATAGGACTCATTTGGATGAGTGTCCAACATGTGTTGCCACCTTCTTAAAAGTGTTCATGCTTTATAGATCTTATGGAATAATTATAGGGCCAATGATGCTTTACGAGACAAAATGTTGGACAACTAAGAAACAACACGTTCATAAAATGAGTATAGCTAAATAGATGTGTGGTTAGATTAGAAAGATAGAATTAGAAATGAATATATTCGTGAAATAGAAGGAGTAGTACCACCAATTGAAGATAAGTTGAGAGAGAACAAACTAAGGTGGTTTGGTCATGTACAACAAAGACCTATAGATGCAACAGTAAGGAAGTGTAATATGATCACTGTAAATGGAAATGTTGGGGAAGGGGGGAGACCTAAACTAACATGGGATGTAGTAGTAAAAAAAAAATGAATCTATGTAATTTAATTGAGCATTTAGCCATTGATAGAGCAAAATGGCGAAAAAGGGATTCATGTAACCAACCCTACTTGAGTGTGACACAAGGCTTGGTTTGGTTTGTTTTGACATGCATTTTCACTGTCAAATTAATGTAAATCTGTCCTTTATATTAGCTTCTTGTGGTTTTTCATATTATTGTTGCATTTTTTTTTCCTCTCTCCGAAGTATCCTTCGATGGGTATGTTATATTATTATTATCTTAGTTTAGTTTGGATTTTGTGAGCAGTATGTTGCATTGGTTTGTCTGTCTGATAGTGTTAGAAGTTGTTATTCTAATGACAAATTCGTTTGGAGTTTACTTCAGATTCCTTGAGTTTTAAGCCCTGTTTTGGTGCTTTTGTGTTTTTGGTTAAGAGTGAATAGCCTCATTGTCTTATACTTGTTATTTATCCTTAATTATTTGTCATCTTACTGAGCAAAATAGATGAATAATCTATAGAAATGAAAAGAAAAATATTTTGGAATCTTTGATGATCATGTCTTTGCTTGTATGTTGTTACCAGGATTCACGGAACCTAGAGAACTTGAACGTAGATCAGGAACTTGAGGGTGAATCTGATGTTCTAATTGAATGTAAACATGTCTACAAGTCATTTGGTGAGAAGCACATCTTGAAAGGTGTTAGCTTCAAGGTAAATTCTGTTTGATTTTCATTGATGAATTTGTGTGGATACTTACGTATATGGAGCTTTGAGGAAGCGTTCGTTCACTGGAATAGAAGTTTCTGAAGTGTGACAGTAAGATTTCATATTTCAAAATGCTTTCTACAAATTGTTCATACATTATTGAATAGCCAACCAACCCTAATAAGTATTGGTTGTAGTACTCACGGAAGTTTTGCGACAAACATTTTCTGGTGAAGAAAAAAGTGCAAATCATTTGTTTTAGATGTGGTTCTGTACTATGGTTTGTGATTAGTGGTGCATGTCATCTACAATTTTTTATTTCCTTGGTGGACAATCTCATGATCTCTAGTTTCACAAAAAAACAAACTTATGCATGATTTGTTGTTGTTTTGGTGAAAATGTTTGTGTTGAGCACAACTTCTAATAGTGTTTAGTATGAAAATAACCAATACATATACCCATGCATGATTTGTTATTTTGGCGCAGAGGGTTAATAGGATCCAAGCAGTCCAACTTGTTTAAGACCTTCTTCCCTCATAAAAATGTCAAGATACATGTTCTAATGATGTTTAAAGCCAATGTAACTTGCACCCATGTTAAAAAAACAACAAAACAACACCCAAATAGTACGCATTAATGTGTGTTTGGGAGGGGAAAGATTGGGTACACACCTAACCTTTGGCATAGTGCACAAAGTGGTTACTCCGAGACTTGAACCCATAACCTCAAGGTTATTTGGTCAAGTTTTTACCATTGAACCAATGGTCACCCCTAACTTGCACCCATGTTGCATCTTAAATATTATTTAGAAGAATTGGTCGAATCTACTTGTTTCTCTATGCATTTAGCATTTCCTTGAATTTCATAAATATGTTACATATTTTTTAATATTTTTTTTTGCTCCTTATATAGATTAGGCATGGGGAAGCTGTTGGAATAATTGGGCCCTCTGGCACTGGTAAATCTACTATTTTAAAGATCATGGCTGGGCTTCTTACTCCAGACAAGGTATTTACCTCAGCACGTTTTTCATATTGGTTATATATTTTACATATTGTATTAATTTGTTTCTATAACTTAATAAAGCACCTCTCAAATTTTCTTACATAGACAATTTTTCATTTTTATTTTTTAAATGAGCAGGGCGAGGTTTTCATTCGAGGAAGAAGAAGACATGGTTTAATCAGCGATGATGAGATATCTGGCCTTCGAATTGGCATGGTAAATTGTAATTGACTTACACATCTTAGTTTTGTTGGCTTACCTTGTTGATAATAATCTCAAACTTTATTTTTAATTACTGTCATTATTTATATGTGTATTCTTTTGAGTAACAGGTGTTTCAGAGTGCAGCACTTTTTGATTCTTTAACTGTTCGCGAAAATGTCGGTTTCCTTTTGTAAGAGACTGTCTAAATTGTTTTATTCAAATTTGATGCAACCTTTACAATATTCTTCCTAAATCTAAGTGTAGTTTTCTGTTTTATATTTCTCCCTTGTAAAAAGACCAACACATCTAAAATCTTGACCAATTTTCTTGTTTTTCACAGGTATGAGAATTCCAGCATGTCTGAGAATCAAATCGCTACCCTTGTTTCACAAACTTTGGCTGCTGTTGGATTGAAGGTACAGTTTATATCAGCATAATTATATGATTTTATGACTTTACATATTTACCCTAGTCTCTTATGTATAATTTGGTTTAATGACATCTAGACTCAAAATACCATAGCTCTCAACCGGTATGGAGTTTGGAAAGAAGTATATAATATCATACCATGATCATTTTAGTTTGCTTAATACATTTAATATAATGGCTTATGTACAAACATACACAAGTGTATGGCTAAGCTAGTATTAAAATGTTTTTTCTGTTAAAACGTAATGTAGAGTCTGTAGTAGTATGCTTTTGAATGGTTTACTATTTAGTTGAAGAAGATGGAATAGTTGAGTGCTTGCTGCCTGCATATTGCCCTTATGGAAATAGTGCAACTGTAACTCAGATTGTTCTAGCCATCTCAATGCTGTTGAAGTATCACACACCTGGATTTGAAGTATTAAACTAAGCTTGACCACCTTCTTCACCTGTGAACAGTTAAAGCAGCAAGTGACTGCGAGCTCAAACTCGAACCTGCCACAATAGTAAAGGAGCAAAGGAAATAAACAATTAAAAAAAAAAAGAACAAAAAGAAAAATGGAAAACAACAGATTCTTTATGAGGCAACCTATCACTTTGATTTTATAATGCAATGAAACTTAACTAAAGTTTTGGGCAGGGAGTTGAGGATCGATTACCTTCCGAGTTGTCAGGTGGAATGAAGAAAAGAGTTGCACTAGCTCGCTCCATAATTTTTGACACCACAAAGGATGTAATTGAGCCAGAGGTATGTGTTTTAGCTGCAATCCCCATGATTTTGTTATTTGATTTAAGGAGAGATCACTTATATTTAACCCAGTATAGAGGATGGGAAGAAGAACTCGTGAATTCCTAGGCCACTGGGTTAACCCCAGTGGTTTATTTGCATGTAGATTGTTGGCTGTTCATGTATTGAAAATTGGCTGAGAATTCTATCTGCTTACATTTTTAATGAAGTTGCTCAAACTTTGGTTGTTGATTGTGAAGCTTCATAGTTTAGTGTGGTTATTTCTGTGAAAAATAGTTCACTCTCTTGTCTTGTCATCCTTTTTTGGAAAAAAAATGGGGGATGGGGAAGGGGTTTGGTGGTTGCCCCTGAAAATTCAAACGCTATGGAATTAAGAATTAATAAGTATTTATTGTGCCAAGGAAAAACTTGAATTTTCATTTATTGGTATGTTCACCTTGGTTTTCAGAGGTCAAATTAGACTATAAGAAACAGTTTCAACATTGCCTCTGGTACACCTGGATGTGTTTTTGTTCCACTCCTCATTGGCAATTAGAATTGTGCATACAGTCTTTCATACACACTTAGGGGTGGCCATTGTACACACTTCTAGTTTGGCCCTTGTAGTTGTCACACATTTTGTGTTTGCATGTGAAGTACGCATTTGGATGGCCATGGCCATAGTTCTCAATTTCAGTTTCTTTTACAGTCTTTCTTGTTGATCGCTTTGCTGCATATCTTGTAGCTCTACAGAGACTGATGGAAAAATATTCAATTTCAATTGCTAGAAGTTGAGCAATAGTACTTAGTTTGGTTTGATCCAGACATATGTGCTTCATTAGTGCTGAGTGATGTTTTAAGGAGATTTTTAATTTGGTTTTGCTTTCACGAGTTCCTGCAGATTCATAGATGCTATGGGAGGTCAAGCAATCAAATATTGAGTTTTTTGGGGAGGTAGTCAATGTGAGAAAGTGATTGAGTTTGTTGGGTTTGAGGAAGTTGAAGAAGATTCAACTCTTGAGGGTGATAGAGGACAGCCTTAGAGGTCCTCAAAATACAAACTGTGTTGCAGGGGAAGGCTGTGAATCTGGTGATTAAGATGGATTAAAAAGAATATCTATGGTAAGACAGAAGAGAAGGGCATGAATTAGTTGAAGTAGGAGAATTGGGAAGACAAGAGAAGAAAAAAGGATACTAGAGAAAGCCCAAGCATTGCATTTAGGTTTTGGGTATTCAAACCTAAATCTGAGTTTTTGTCTTCAACATACTAAACCAAACCTTAAGCCCCATCAAATAGGATCGGTTACATGAATCATTCTTCCTTATTTGACTCTATCCAAGGCCATATCGTTAGTTAAATTAAGGAGATTCATATCTTTATTTACTACACTATCCCACGTCAATCTAGGTTTGACCCTTCCCCTAATACTTCCATCTATCGTCATTGTATCGCATCTCTTCAGTACTGCCTTTGTTGGTCTTTGTTGTATATGATCAAACCATCTCAATCTATTCTCCCTCAATTTATCTTCTATCGGCACTACTCCTACCTATTTTCGAATATACTCATTTCTAACTCTGTCTTTTCTAGTCTTGCCACATATCCATCTTGGCATCCTCATCTCAGTAACACTCATCTTATCTACATGTTGTTTCTTGGTTGCCTAACATTCCGTACCATATAATATCGTTGGTTTAATAGCCGTTTTATAGAACTTCCCTTTTAATCTAGTGGGTACTCGTTTATCACATAGTATCCTAGACACACTCCTCTACTTAAGCCACCCCGCCTTAATTCTATGGACCACATCCGCTCCAATCTTCCTAGCTGTTGTGATAATTGATCCTAAATAACGAAGATGTTCACTCTTAGGTAGTGCTTGGTTCTCAATCTTCACTTCTCCTCTACTTTGATTGTTTTTGTCTTCAACAATATAGCAAAATTGTGGGTGTGCTACTAGCAATAGTAGAAGAAACCAGATTTTCCTATAACCATTATAAGTTTTAAAAACTAGCAAATTGACAATCAAACACTAATATAGAATGATAATTCAACTGCTTCAACAATCAAGCACTAATTCAGAAATTAAGGAAGAGAATGCTACTTATTTGTATTGTCTAAAGAATAATTTTATAGTGATGACTAACACGGATATGTTTACATAGTGGTGATTATGAATTTATGATTTTTGTATTGCTCATGGCAAGACATCAATGTCTTGGGACGTGTTTAGAGGCTAGACACGCCTCTTCGTGACGTGCCTCCATCGTGTCTAGACAGAGAAAAGTTATACAAAAATGGGACATGACGTGCTATATCCCATACATATCACGTATCCAGGCAGTTCATGTTTGACATGTGTTGGACATGGCTACAACAACTAAGTTGAAGTGCATGTGCTTCATAGTTAGAGAGTGACTCAAACCCAGTTGAACACTTGGAAGAAAATTAGACCTTATTTGAACAACCATTTTGAACAATTTAAATTGACAAGAAGGTAACATAGGATCTTGAGCAAAGTGATTTGCAACCATGATTGGGGGGCCTTCAGGCCTCATTTGCTGTATGTAGACGATACTATCTTTTTTTGCTTCTAGGGAGGAATTAGAGGTAGTTAATTTGCTTACAGTTTTGAGAGTCTTTGAGATTGTTTCAGGACTTCAGGTTAATGTTAATATGAGTAACATTGTGGGCATTAATTTTCAATCAAATAGAATACAAAGGCTGGCGGGGATTTTAGGGTGTTCTATTGAGTATCTTCCATTCAAGTACTAGGGGTTACCCTTGGGAAATAATCCTAGGGCGGAGTCTTTTGGGGCACTAGTGTTAGAGAAGATTGGTAAAGAGATTGGAGGGGAGGAAAAGCAGAAATTATCATGTTGGTCAGGGAGACCACATGGCCTTGTGCCCATCCCATGGTATCTTCTCATTTCTCCGACATTTCCTTGTTTTTAGGGCCATGTAATTATTTAGGTTCCCATTATTGGTCGGGCATCTCGCCAACATTTTGGAAATTTCAAAAGACAACATAATTACTTGTGGAAAAGAGCTTTGCTTTCTAGAGGAGGTAGCTACACTTTAGTGCAGTCTGTTTTGTGGAGTATTCCAATTTATTCTGTCTTTGTTTAAGATTCCAGTTGCAGTAACAAATAAAATTGAGAAAATGATTAGTGATTTCTTATGGTTATGGATGAAGGGGAAAATAATCATTTGGTGAATTGTGTGATAGTTTCTCTCCCTATAGATAAAAGGGAACTGGTTGTAGGAAACATTGTGACAAGGAACATTGCTCTTTTAGGGCAGTGGTTATGAAGATTTCTTATTGAGTGTAATTCTTTATGAAATTCCATCATTAAGCAGGCAATTTACCAATATCAATTTTAAAATCTGTTCCTAACCACCGGTTTAACCCGAAAATGAACCAATTCATTCCTTGCATTCTTGAATCATCTAACCTCAGGTTGTAAATGTATTTAAAGTAATCATAGACTAGTCTCATGCAGTTGATTTCTCAGATCATTATTTGTACCTGTACTAGCATGAAAACACACAGATGCAAGTATTGTATACAGAATATGAATACATATGCCCAAGAAGTTTACCATAGATGTATATTCAACAATCTACAATGTCATCCTGTCACCCAACTTCAGATTGCTAACCAAAAGCAAGCTGATGATATTCTCTCTCTTCTCTGCCCTACAGCTGCAGCTGCTCTTTAGGTTTTTTAAAGTTTGATGTATATTATGCAATTTGGTAAACTTAACTTCCTTCATATACATGTGGAAGCCTTATCATAATTACATAAAAGCTCTCAAGGCTTTATCCTAGTTTCACAAAGATTGTCTTATAACATAAATTTCACTAAGATTTTCTCATAATTATAAGGGTAAACTACCAATAGGCCCTAATAGTTGGACTTAACTCCCATGGAGTCCTATTAAAAGTTAATCCTAGTAAAATCGTCGCTAAAAATAATTTTTTGTGACGCTTTTTTGCATGTCGATAAAAATTGACAATTAGTGACTTTTTTTGTTAGGATTACAATTAATGACTCTTTATGATACGAATTTTTCAAATTGTCACTGAAAGTTGAAAATTAGTGACATTTTTTTGTGACGATTTTTTAAATTATCGCTAAAAATTATAATTAGTGACATTTTTTGTAACAAAATTATCAAACTGTCGCTGAAAATTAATAATTAGTGACGTTTTTTAATAGTATTTGATGAAAAATATCGTTAATTATCATAGGACTTATTGGACAATAAGTCCACCTATTAGGACCTACATGTAAGTCTCCCTAATTATAATTATGCCATCATCTTTTATTATCTGACAGAGAGAATTTTATATATAAACACAAGCTTCAGCAATTAAACCAAAACATTGTTTAATCTGCATCCGAACACATACACAAATACACACAAATATTCCTAAAAATCGGGGTCTCACATTTGTTTAATGTTCTCATATGAATGTATGTTTATGTTTGTGTACGTCACAAGTATGATCATAGGATTAGGCTAATCATTTTAAAAATTTTAAAAGGATAAAAGACAATTTTTGTCCTTAAAGTATGCATTCTTTGTCATTTTAGTCCCTCAAGTTTCAATTTTGTCATTTTGGTCCTCAAAATTATCAATTTAGTCCCATCTCTAACTTTTGTTTACATTGATAACGGGAAAAGTATTTTATCTTTGGATAAAAGATAGTTTTAGTCCCTATACTATGCGTTTTGTCATTTTAGCCCCTCAAGTTTTAAAATTTGTCATTTTGGTCCTCAAAATCATCAATTGGGAACTAGGACCAAATTGACCCAAATTGATAACTTTGAGGACCAAAATGACAAACTTAAAACTTGAGGGACAAAACTGACAAGAAACACATATTTTAGGGGTTAAAGCTGCCTTTTATCTATGTTCCCGTTATCAATTTAGACGGACGTTAGAGATAGAACCAAATTGACTCAAATTGACAACTTTGAGGATCAAAATGACAAAATTAAAACTTGAGGGACTAAAATGAAAAACAACGCATTCTTTAGGGACGAAAACTGTTTTTATCCTTTTTAAAATTTGCAGCGTTTCTACCTGTTTCCCGTTGTACGGCATCATTATATATCACTGTTGTGTATATATATATTCTCTTCCTCCATACACTAGAAGACCCCAAACTTAACAGTGTTCTGTATAACTTCTGCCATCGTGGAAAGCTCTTGACTTCTTGCATATATTGAATTTGTATTCTTTTTGGGATATGTTATGTCACTTCCAAGCTGAACCTCAGCAGCTGTATAGATGAACCACCACATTAGAATTGCCTGCCCAATCCTTTTGTCTCTTTGTTTATTTTTTATGCACTAAGGAAAATTCATTGATAAAGCCTGAAGGGACTTTGAGAGAGTTCTCATATGGAAAGGTCTGTGTGCATTACCAGCCAAAACCACAATGTGAATGACAAAATCATAAGATCCTAGTCTTGACCGATGCATAGCATCTCGTTAATCTGCTCGACACCAGGGAACAAAAAGAAAAGGTTACGAAAAAAATTGAACGAAATATAAATTCCTTTTTCCTGATAATCATAGCAATATGTGGCTCTCTCCCTCACCCTGATTTTGTTTGTTAGAGGGAATAAGTTTGGAATAGGAATATCGAAGCCATGTATCACTCCATTTGGATCGTGGAGTGAGAAAGGAAATGATTGTAGTCTGATCTATGTGAGAAAAGAAAAGAAAAGAAATGGTTGTGTTTTCTCACTATTATGTTTGGATGAGTAAGAAAGGAAAACATGTGAAATAGGGATATGGGTGAGATTTCTTTTTCTTCCCTCATTTTATGGGCAATCTTGGTATTTTAAAAAATATATAGGCAATCAATTGGTTTCTCACCGAATCTCACCATTTTCGGAGAAAAATGAAAGTGGCATAATATCAGAGTTCTCTTTTTGTCCATTTCTTGAATAATTTGTAAACCAAATATTAGAAAGAGTTATGTTTCTCATCGTTTCTCATCTAATCACTCCATCCAAACGGGCTGGTAAGGCTAGGAGTAAACATGTCCACAATAATGTTCACAAATTTTATGTGGTGACTGGTGAGTAATATACATCATATGTTTCTTCAACCATTGATTTAACTGTAAATTGTTGACCTGACAGTACTCTGCACTCCTGAACAGGTGCTCTTGTATGATGAACCAACGGCTGGACTCGATCCAATTGCATCTACTGTAGTTGAAGACCTCATCCGCTCTGTTCATTTGAAAGGTGAAGATGCACTTGGGAAGCCTGGAAAGATTGCATCGTATGTTGTTGTAACTCACCAACATAGTACCATTAGGAGAGCTGTTGACAGGTACTGCTTCTTCCAAACCCTTTGGATCTTGGAGTGTTTGAAGTCACATTTTGATTGACCTAAACAGAACTTCATCTTTCTATTTCTAGGTTGTTATTTCTGTATGAGGGAAAGGTTGTATGGCAGGGAATGACTCATGAATTCACCACATCAAGTAATCCGATAGTTCAACAGGTAATGGCTTTAATTCTTAAACATGGAAATTTGTATTTTGACATTTGTTTTTTTATGTTTCAAATATTGTTGGGAACAAAGAACAACTCTTCATTGTGTAGTAACTTGTAACTGTATCAAGCAGATGATTTTTTTGGTAATATAAACATATTTCTCCAAATGTTGTTTACATTCTGAAAGGTTGGTCTGCTCAATGAAGTTTTTGGGAATTTTACTTCTAACACAGGCAGGCTCGTTTTGAGTTGTCATTGTTGGTTTATTTTGGTCGTCTACATTTGTTTTAGAATTAGCAAGATTGTTTAAAGCTTCCTGAATAGTCTTGATTGTGATGGGCTAACCTTATTCTCTCTCATCCTTTTCCATTATATTTTCAGTTTGCGTCTGGCAGCTTGGATGGGCCAATTAAATATTAGCATACACACTGTGGTGGTATTTTTTTAACTCAATGCTTGTTTTTTGAGTCTTGGCTACTTACGGAGTTTTCAGAGAGAGAGAGAGATGGTCTGAAAGGATCAGATGTAGCATGCAAACTTGGGGATCCTGGAGCTGATGTGTAAACTTCTTGGTCCAAAGAGATGCTGTACAAGTTCAATCTCATAGCAGCTATGAATAAAACGAGTCTGCTTCGAAAATTATATCATAGAGCGTAACTGCTGGCAATACTTAATTCATTTGTCGAGTTTTTGTTGTCACTACTCATGCCCTATTATAGGCAAGCATATTGTAACGATAATTGTGTAACGTAAAACTGATCGCGGTCTTCATTTCTATTTTGAACGAGGTTTTCTAATGCTTTTGGTGCATTTTTTTTGTCTTAGAAAGAATTGCTTGTTGAAGTAGGTGTGGTTAATGAGATGTCAAGAACAATACTAGGTTGATCTAGTTAGAAGCTTGCAAAAGGACAATACAGAGTTCTTTATACGTATATAGTCTCCTGGCTGTTAATGATCATTGTTTGTCTGCAATTTACCAAAGTTATTGAATTGATTTTGGGGAACTTTGAGAGAGCCTTAGAAAGTCCTATAATTGGTGTTGTGGATACTGATAGAAGTTTTTGATGCATGAGGATGAAGAAACCATCCATGCCTTGCAGGAATTCCTGGTAATGGCGGTGGAGGTCTTGTTAGAGATTTGAATGGCTGTATGATTTTTGCTTTTGCTCAATCTTGTGTTCACTGCTTTAATATGGTGGCAGAGACTACAGCTTTTATGTATAAGCTTCAATTTTGTATGTCCAAAGATCATCTTAAAATAGTTGTATTGGACAGTTTTGGTGGGTTTCCTTAATGGTGATTGTTCATCTATGTAGTTTGTTTGCCCTATTGTTATTGTTGTGAGGTATTTTATATTTGCTGTATAGTCAAGACTATCATAAGGGATTTTTAACGAAAGTGGAGGCCTTTAGGTTGATGAAAGAGTGGGTGGTGGTTTACCAATGATCACAGGTGGTTGTGGTGATTTTTTGAGAAGGTAACCACTGAATGATTCGTCTCAATTATTGTATGCTCTCTCTCTTTATTTTCATCTTTAAATATATTTTGAGATGATTTATTAAAATAAGAGTGAATTACACTAACAGTCCTTATAATTTGGGACTCATGTCACTTTGGTTCTTGACTTTTCAATTATAACATATTTGACCTTGAATTTTGAATCTTATTCTAAATAAGGACAATTGAAGATACCATTACTTAATTTTAAGGGTAAAATTGTCAATTTGATAATATATAAACTAATTTGACAAAAATAAATGTCAAAAAAATATTTTTTAAATTATTTTTATCCATCAAAGATAAAATTATGTAAAATTAATAAATCTTTTAGACATTTATTTATTTATTTTACCAAATTAATGTTATTATGTATTTGGATAATGATCATGTAATGGGTGGTTGTTAGAATGTGTAATTGATATATTTAATATATGAAATGTTTTTACTTCTGGATTTTTTGATTTAATAATAATATCAAAATTGTAAGCATATTTCACTTTTGAAAAAATAGAAACTAATTTAATGAAAATAAGAACAACCACCAATTACATTATCATCATCCAAACACATAATAAAAATTAATTTGGTAAAATAAATAAATGTCTGAAAGATTTATTAATTTTACATAATTTTATTTTAAGTGGGTAGAAATAATTTTTAAAAATATGAAAATATTTTTTTGACATTTATTTTTATCAAATTAGTTTATATTTTATCAAATTGACAATTTTACCTTTGAAATTAAGCAATGGTATCTTTAATTGTACTTATTTAAAACAAAATTTAAAATTCAGAATCAAATACGTTATAATTAAAAAATTAAATATCAAAATAACACTAGTCTCAAACCATAAAGGGCATCAATGAATTCACCATTTACTCTATGCATTCAGCTATGGATGCTCATTCGTTGTATTCAATTATGGCTTATTTTGGAAAGATGGTAAAAAATAATTTTTTGGCTTTTAATCAAGCTTTTGACTTTTTTAGACAAATAATTTGGGAAGTTGATAAAAAGTGACTTTTGACTTTTTTGATTAATCTTTGTTTATGATGTCAAATCATAATAAAATGACCAAACTACTCCCATTAATTTAAAATATTTACGACTTCACCTATGTAACACATTTTGACCCATGAGGGTAAAATTATAATTTCACCGTTGGCTAAAAACCAACTTCCCAAATGAAAAAAAAAAAGACAAAAAAGCAAACTTTTATCTTTTGCTACAAATAAAAAAAATTGACTTTTAGCCAACTCCTCAAAATAGTCCTATATAATATTCGGTGTGTTTGGTCCACCTCGGTGACTGTGCGAAGCTTGTTGGGTAAGTTAATTTTTTCTGATTCTCTCTCATTGATTGTATTTAATAATCACATATAATTTTTAAAAAAAAAAAAAAAAGTTAAGTTTGGCATATACAAAATAATTTATTTTTTTATTTTTTTTTTTATCACATCACCTTTCTACTTTTTTATATATTTTTTTTATAAAAAGATAAAAAAATATACTTATTTAGGTCATCTTAAACAACCGCAAAATATAAGCCTAAGTCTTATGAGCTTAGCATTCAAGCTCAATCCTCCTCTCTCTCAATCATAAATTATGTTCTTATGTGGTTGGGCTATGTCGATCACAATGAGTGGCGATTATGTTTGGCAAAATTTTAGAATTATGATGAGAAAATAGAGTTGTATTTTGAGTTTGTAAATTTTGAAATTATGATTTGAGTGTGAAAAATTTATTTGGTTATAAATTTTGAGAAGAATTTGAATTTAATGATGTGACATATGATATTGAAAAGTAAATGTGAAATTAATTTTCTAATCTTATAACCAAACAACACATTCAAATTAAAGAGTAAGATTAAACTTTAAAAACTCTGCCAAACAGAGTCTATGTTGTGGTGAGTTATCCGTGAGACAAACACTGGAGGAACGAAAATAAAGAAAAAAGAATTCAAATCTACAGTGATACATTACATATACACATATATATATATATATATATATATATGCGTATATGTAATGTATCACTGTAGATTTGAATTCTTTTTTCTTTATTTTCGTTCCTCCAGTGTTTGTCTCACGGATTTTCGGTGGCTGTGTGGGTGTGTGTTTTGGTGAAAAGTATATGTGCAAAATTTAAGGGTTATAATCGGAACAAGTGGTCTGTAGAATGAGATAAATAATATTTAATCAAATGCACAAATATGGGCATTGAGAACTAACATATACTGAGATAAATAAATGTATAGAAATGAAATTTTTCTATATATGCGTGAGAGCTGACCCACGTTTATACTAGTTTTTTTTTTAAAGGGATTTTTTTTCAAAAAATAATTTAATTTTTTTTTACACTTTTTGATTTTTTTGATTTTTTGTTTTTTGTCAATCCATATGAGAGCAATTATAATTATTGGAAATATTATATTATCAATTATCATAATAGTTAGAAAGTCAACAAAACTTAACTATAATGTGAAGAAATAAACATCACCACAAAGTGTATCAAATTCTTTTCCCTAGGAGTTGAACTCGGAACCTCACACTATAAAAGATGTTACACAACTATTAGGGCAAATGTCGTGGTTAATCTTACTCAATTAGATAGATTAAAAAAGTAAAATATTTAGAAAAAAAAAGTCTAAAATGATTTTAAAAAAAATTGACTTTTTGTTATTATTTTTGGTTTTAATGATTGATTTATTTATTTAATTTATTTCTTGCTTTATAGATTTGTCTACATAAGGTGGACTTGAAATTTTTTTTAAACATAATTTTAAAAAAAAATTACTAAAAGTAAAATTTTTTAGAAAAAGTATGTCAAACACACCTTGTTTGGTTACGATTTTAGATTATAACTTATTTGACTTTAAGTTCATCTAATAAAAAGAGATGAAAAAGAAAAGAGACGAGATTTTCGTAAGTTACAATTTATGGCTTTTTAAGTTTTTTTGACCCTATAAATACATATGGCCAAAAGAGTTTTATCTCTTTTGCCTTAATTATAATCATGTTTGGTTTGGTTTTGTTTTCAAAAACTTTGTTTTAGAAATATTTTTTAGAAAGTTAAAAATTAGTTTGGTGAAAAAAATATAAAAAATCAAAATACTTTTCTATATAATTTTATCTTTTGGGAGGCCAAAAAAATAAAAAATATCTTTTTGATTTTATTTTTATCAATCTAGTTGGTATTTTTTTTTAAAAAAAAAAAACTGATTTAAAAAAAAAAATTAAGAAAAAAAAAAAAACCAAACATGGCCTATGACTTTTGGGAGCATCTTGAATATTTGTACAATAAAAAAGTTAGGTGATGATTTATTTAACTAAATATGGTCAATTTATTTTACATATTATGAAAAGTTACATAAAAGTAATTTATAACTTACTTTAAATCTTTCAAATTAATAATTGGGCAAATTACAGAAATGGTCCCTATAGTTTACCCGTTGTTTCATTTTGGTCTATGTACTTCTAAATGCATCAATTTTGCCCTTGCAGTCTGGTTTTTGGCTCGATATGGTCCAGTAGTTAACAGTCGTTGGGCTTTTGGATGAAAATCCCACGCGTGCCTTGCACACACGGGACTTGTAAGGGCAAGGTTGTCATTTTGACACCTCTACCCATTTTTCTGCCCGAATATGCAACCCTGATGATCTGTGTAAACAAATAGGGGATTAGGGTTAGGAAAGGGGTTAAGAAAGGGATATAACAAATTGGTGAGAGCTGAGGCTTGAATTCAAAGGTGTCTGAGGGAAATCTAATGAGTGAATCGAATCCATTAAAGTAAAAAAGCAACAAGCCAAGTCGATGGCTTTGAGAGATGCTTCGTCTAAGAGCCCTCAATACGATATTTGACTTTTTTGACAAACATTTGTTGTTTATATGTATTGTCGTCTTCATTTTGGTCCATGTACTTCATAGTGGTTAAATGGTGATTTATGTATACATATAGGTTATTTTTATTTAGATTCACCTTTGTTTGTTTGTTGTTTGTTGTTATTGTTGTTGTTGTTGTTTTATTTATTTATTTTTTTATTATTATTTTTTTTTTGGAGTAATCTGAGATTCACCTTTCTATATGTTGGTTTCTTTGTTTTGTTCCCTTTTTTGTTGACATTGGTTCCCACACGAATAGACATGCACATGGGGAAAAGTAATAAACTCCTGACAAATTTTGATTAATTTATTTTTTATTTAATCTCACAGATCCTGATGGTGATTACTTCACTTTAAAAATGCATCATGGGGAACATTTGTATGTAATCCAAATAGGTTATATATGGGGGGGGGGAGAAACATACTTTGACTACTGCAAAGCTAATTACATTAGTATGTTATACATAGAGGATTTGGTGGAGAAATTGGATTATACTGGAAGCATGTCAGTCAATGTAAAGAATGACAATGAGTTGATGGGTATACTAAAATTCTTGAATAGAAGTAGGCACATTGATTTCTATTTGGAACAGTATCCTATAACACAGCCTAG